ACTGTCAATGTTAGGTGTTTTTGAAATAATGGGAAAAACTCTCATTTGCAAATGTTTTCCTTCATCTTTGGAGGATCATGATGAATCATTTCTCACTGAACTGTTTCAAGAACAAACTGACCGTTCATTCTTGATTCGGGCACATTCAAATGTTCTTTTGTCTTGTTCTTCAAGCCCTTCTAATCAAGTACATCTTCCAACCTGACCTATTGACATTCCCCTCTCTTTGAACCCTATCTTTGATTGAATTATTGAAAAAAAGCGGAAACATGATATATTGCCTAAAGAATTGCTCAACAGCAGAAGTTCGTTCATCAATGTTTTGATTATTGTGATCGTGACTAGCTGAAGTGCAATCCACACTATACGATGCGTGTGGATTGCAATGCACATTATGCAATCCACAGCATTCGTATACATGTATATACGAACGCTCATAAAAGCTGACAATTAGCCAATAAAATGAGAAATAATAATTGCACATTCCCGATAAGCCAAACATCTGGGAATGATGAACGCTGGTGCACCTTGAGAATGTGGCGTGGACATGATGAAATGATTGATAACTTTCATCGTGTTGATTGTCTGAGGTAGGGTCATGAATTAAGAAGGGGAATGAATATATGATGATCACTTAAGGAGGGAGAGATCATGACCATGAATTGTTGCATGTGCCAATGTCAAATGTGCAACGATGTCAAATGTGCTGCTATACGGTTCGCGTTTGATCTGAAGTTTGAAAGAGGAATGATGAATAAGGTCTCNAGCTCGTCGTTGGTGCTCTCAATGGCGTATTAATACAATTTTCAGATGGTTATACAACGGCTGATATTGACTATTTCTGGGGAAAGTATAGGAATGATCAAAATTCTGCGGTCGGTTTCAATAATATTTCGTTGCCACAGTTTCGTGCAGTCGGTTATCGTGTCAATGTCACGCGCGCAACAACCTCATCTGGTACTTTTATAATGATTAGCAGCAGCTCACTGTCACGATTATGACGCTCTTATCAATGTCACAATTATAATGATTTATATAACAATATAATGATCTATAATGATTCATCGACAACCATTCATTCGCTATATCAATCGCATATCTTCATACAATATCGCTGTCGATTGATTGCGTAATTTTTAATGAGCGTTTGCATCAATCAAAAAGTGAGCACTGATATGCACATTCGAGAGCTGAACTAAACGTGAGTAAATTGAAGGTGTATATGTAAGATTGTACTTCGAAGTGCTACTCGGTCGTAATCTCGGTTTCTACCTCATGAACATAATCATTCCTTCAATGCTAATCGTCACTATTTCATGGGTATCATTTTGGTTGAATCGTGAGGCATCTCCGGCTCGTGTAGGGCTCGGAGTGACCACTGTGCTCACAATGACCACTCTCATCACTACCACTAATGTACGTTATGTTCACTTGACCAAATGCCACAGTCCTTATGCTCACCTGAAATTCACATCTAATATCTTAGTTCCTTTTTCAATTAACAATTACTATCGTTTTAATTGTTTCATAGTACCTCTCTAAAAGCATTTGCTTTTATTTTCTTGACAACGAAAAGCACAAATGATTTCGTATAATTTTTGCAGAACTCAATGCCAAAGGTCAGCTACATCAAAGGACTTGATGTTTTCCTGAACTTTTGGTAAGTTTTCATCGTATTGCCATTGTTCGAATATTCTCATGAGCGAATTAAACGATTTTTGGTGCATAATAACTAAAGATATCTGCTTTCAAAATGAGTTGTTCAGTTTCGTGATGGTGTTCGCAAGTTTGGTCGAATATGCAGTTGTGAGTTATATGAACAAGAAATTGGCGCAGCGGAGGGAACGACGGCGGAAACAAGCTGAACAACAAGCACCAGTTGAAGTGCCTATGTTTCACAGTCAAATATCACCGAAACTAAACGCGGTTGGTTNGAACAACAAGCACCAGTTGAAGTGCCTATGTTTCACAGTCAAATATCACCGAAACTAAACGCGGTTGGTTTCTCCGAGTATTTTTAAACGCATAATTCTCATTGAACGATATTAATTATGGACCTGGATTCAATATATTGTTCTTAAATATTTGCCGAAAGGAGTGCGGAATTGCTCAGCCCAAGCTAACGGCCGGGCCGAGGCAAGAATTACGGATAATTCCAGGATGAAGCCAAAAATTTTCGGGCAGACCAACATTTTCCGGGCTGAGCCAAGAATCAGAAGCAACTATGAGCAGTGCAGAAACGCCGAGCCCGACAAATCTTTAGCCAATTTAGCTATTTTTGGTTCAGTTCGGCCAAACCTCTGCCCCGGTCGCATCTAGTCATTCTTGGTCCAGTCCAGTGGACCGAGCCCGTCAATTCCAGAAGACCCCACTATTGGAAAGACTTCGAGCTCGCATAAATCCATATTAAGAACAAGCCAGATCATGAACAGGTTTAGATCTCCAAGCATAAGGTCACTGCAAAATCCTTCAGATAGAGCTGTTTTACGAGCCTAGATTGAAACGAACAGAAATGGGGCATTCCACATTTCTCTGAGATGTCATTTGTCGCTTAATAATCGCTGATGCATGCAGCCATTTCTAGAGTTTAATCGTTCTAATAAATCACTTTGAATCCACCCCGAAAGCTTTTTGATCTAATCGCTGCTTAATTCTGTGTCCAAGTCCTCTTCCCGATTATAATGTGCATCGCATTCAAATAATATCAGAAAACTCTTCCGTCTTCTGCATCACCATACAATCAACGTCACATTTGAAATGTCGCCTAGGTTATCTAATTCCAGTTTTGTGTTTAGTCATTCCGTCATCCATATAAATGCATCAACTTTCAGCCCTATCAAGCGCAAATAATGAACCTGAGTAGTTCATCACCATTGAAAGCTTACACTGACGTGAGTTTATTCCATATCAGCCATTATTTACACTGAAAAATTTTTAGTTTTTTGGAATGGTGTGATAAAAATTTCATTTTCTACTCGTGATTAACCGTGAATGAACACAAACATTTCAGCTGCCGAACAGATTTCAAGTTGAAATTTTTATCATACCGTTCGGTTTGATTTCTATGTCCTCCTGTTCTGTGTTTAGTTTTCGTTTCATTCGCATATTTGGATATTTCCTATTTACTGACAACAAAACAAAAGCTAACCATATATTTTTGAGCTTTTACATCCGCTTTTCTGTGTTTTCGTTGGTTTCGAAGTTATTCAAGAAGAGGGATATCAT